TGAGAAAGAACAATGTCCCTACTGCTACAGGCAACCTCAATTCCAAGAAAGTATCGCAAAAATCTAAGGTTTTTTATATCGAAAACCTTTCCAAGGTCTGTCTTGACCTTGCGCAATGTCAAAAACATCATCTTCAGTAATAATAATATCATTAACATATACCAAAAAAATGACACACTGTCCAGAAGTATTCTGTTGAATGAAGCAAATATGATTAGAATGACATCTGGTGAATCCTAAATGTACAACTACATCACTAAAGCGAGAGAACCAAGCTCGTGGTGACTATTTTAGTCCAAAAAGAGACTTACGCAGTCGACATACCTTTCCAACATACTCCCCCTCAACACGAAAGTCCGGTGATACATCCATATAAATAATCTCGCCTAGATCACTGTGAAGAATTGCATTCTTCACATCCAACTGATGAAGAGGCCAAGAGTACTCCGCAGCCAAAAAATTAATTAATCGATCAGTAGTCAATTTTACTATGGGGGCAAAGGTAGCACCAAAATCACGACCTGGTACTTGAGTAAAGCCCTTCGCTACAAGTCTAACTTTGTGACGATCAATAGTATCATCCGCAAAAAACTTCAGGGTATAAAACCCAGCGACAGCCAACAGGTCTCACCCTTGAAGGTAAAGAGACAAGATCTCACGTATGATTACGTTGAAGAGCATTCATCTCCGTCTGTATGGCAAGAACCCACTGGGGCTCCTGCATAGCCTCTAAAACAGAACGAGGAACTGGCGTATCTGATAAGGTCATACTATAAACTCGAAATGTAGGAGACAGATCACCATAAAAAACATAAGCAGAGATTGCATATAAAGTCCTGGCAGTCCAACCATAACGAACAACTAGCCGGCTATTACGCTGCGAATAACGACGCCCTAAATTATCATCCTCTACTAACAATGTCTCATCAAGGAAAGTAACTGCCTCAGTACTTGTAATCTCATCAGTACTAACAACTGGTGCATCAATATGTTCAACAAACTGAGAAACATTACCTACATCGATTGAGGTAGAGGGGACATCAGCAGGGGAATAAGAGCAAGGGCGACGAACATAAACCTGCAAAGGAGGAGAGACTGGTGACTCTGTACTGACAGTGACAAGTGACTCTGGAAGAGAAGAGACTGATGACTTTGTAGTGATAGTAACTAATGGCTCGGGCTCCTGTGATAACGAAAAATTAAAGGGAGTATCATCAACTAGAGGGGCAGGCACATGACTGGAAGAAAAATAAGGAATGTGCTCAAGAAAGGTAACATCTAGATTGTGATACATACGACGTTTGATAGGATCATAATACCGATATCCCTTTGACTGATGACAATAGCCCACAAAGACACAATAAATTGCTTTATCATCAAGCTTATGGCGAGTAAGAGACCTATCTTGAACAAAACATGTGCAGCCAAAAATACGAGGAGGGACCAGAAAAAGTGTCCGCTTAGGGAATAAGACCTGTAAGGGAGCCCTATGTTGAAGAACACGACTTAGGTGTACGATTATACGAAAAGATAGAAATCAAAACAGCAAAATGTCAATAATATTTTGGTACCCTCGTACCTTTAAGCATACAACGTACCATCCCTATTAGACTTCTATTTTTTCTTTCAATTACTCCATTTTGCTCAGGAGTATATGGACAAATGAGCTGCTGAAGGATATCCTGAGAGGAAAAGTGAGACACTAAGACATCAGACACATATTCTTTGGCATTATCTGAACGAAGAATATGAACAATTACATTGAATTGTGCCTTAATCATCTGAAGAAATTGAGTGATGACTGGGAGTACATCAGACTTCCTATGCAAAAGGTAGACCCAAGTACAACGGGTATGGTCATCTATAAATGTCACATAGTATCGAGCATCTGACTGAGTAGTAACATGACAGGGTTCCCAAATATCAAAGTGTATTAGGTCAAATGGTTTGGGTGACTGGTGTATGTGAGGAATATAACTGGTCCGAACATGTTTCGATAGGAAACATATATCACAGTCAAATTTACTACCAACACAAGCATTGCTCAAAGCAAGAAATAATATACATAAATATTTAAAATTTGTATACCCAAACCGGTCATGCCACAACTGAACAGGTTGTGATAAAAAATCATAATGACAAGTACTAGGCAAAATATTAGCATGCAAGTTAGGAACAGATAAAGACAAAGCAGGTGCAGGTGATGGAGGTGGAGGAATCGGTGAAACTAGATGTGGATCGCCTAGATAATACAATTCATCTCTCTCATGTCCCCAAATAATAATTTTCCTGGTACTCAAGTCCTGTAAATAACACGAATCAGATAAAAACATAATCGTACAATGAAAATTTCTGGCTAATTGATGTACGGATAATAGATTCATGGCCAATTTTGGCGCATGAAAAATCGAATGTAATATAAAGTCATCTGGGAGGGGGACTGTACCCTTACTAGCAATACGGCTCGTCAAAAGTGGTGAAGTGATGGGCCTCACCTGTCATATAACCATTCACACCCAAGTCCAGCATCCAAAGGGGAGATGGACTAGTGCAAGCATGAAAGACACGAGGTATACCTGTAGCGGTAGTAGTAATTGGACCCTGAATAGTCAGGGCGGATATAAGTATATCTAATCGGGAAATGATAGCATCCATATCACTCTGCCTAGGAGGAGCTGCAGTAGGAGTAGCGACAGTAGGTGGTCGTACCTTAACAATAGCGGCAGTACGACTGTGAGGTGGTAACTTAAGCTCCGGATAGAGCTTTCAGCAAGTAGCCTTGAGATGTTTTGGTCGGCCACAATAATCACACTGACGAGAACCAGGAGATATATTCCAGGTAGAAGTACTAACAGTAGAGGTCTCAACAGTAGTAGTCATAGCAATAACAATACGTGGGCACCCGTGATAGAAGAAATTCTAAGATAAATAGAGGAACAAAATAAGGGGGAATAATATATCTCCGGTCGAACGGTAGCGATAGATAAAAAAAGGTCCCAAAAGCTCCCAAATAATCAAGGTCATGGCGCCCAGAAATCCAATAAAGATAAATAAGTGATCTATTACATCAAGAGCAAATCGACGGAAAAGAGGATTCAACCCCTCTTAAAAGGTCTTAAAACGCGATCCGACAGTGGGTTGATGAGTGGGCTGGGCAATGACCCAGTAATAGGCTAGGTACTTGGGTCAGTGGGTGGCTGGTTTTATCTAGGCTGTTTTGCATTGCTAGCCTTTTGTTTGATTTATAGTCTGGTGTGAAGGTTTGTCGGTGGACAGTATGCTGGAATATTTGGGTTGCTGGGTATTGGGTTTCACTTGTTTGGCAAACTGGTTTTGGGAGTCTTTTATGTCGGTCGGTGGACTTGGGGGTTGGCTGAGTATGTCTGTCGGTGGACTGCTATATTGGTGAGGGGGTTGGCTGAGTATGTCTGTCGGTGGACTGCTATATTGGTGAGGGAGTTGGCTGAGTATGTTGGTTGACAGACTAGCTGGGTATTGTTTGCTGGTTTGGTGGAGTGCTTGGTGGTTTTGCTGGGTGGTATGCAGCGGCTGTTGGTTGTTGGTGGCGGCACAGGTGGTTGCTGGGCTGCAGTAACAAGGTATAGGAGGCTAGGGCTAGGGTTAGAGGTAGGGGTTAGGGTTTTGGCTCTGATACCATCTAGAGAAATATGTGAGTCCAAAAGGGATAAAAATTAAGCGTAGAGCTCCCATATATATAGCCAATGAAAGTTACAATAAGGATAAAAAAGTTAAAAAGGGAAAACTTTAATAAACCCTAATAAACTAGGCCGCTATTTCTCCAACAGTTAGGTTAACCTAGATGTAAAACCTTCACCAAATCCTTGGGATGAGGCCTTGCGAGGACTACCCGGGGTGAGGTAGTAGGTTGTGACTCACTTGTGATCCACATGGTTGTTGCGGTGTTTGGAAAATACCATATAGTGGAGTAATCTTATTAAGGTAGTGGAAGAGTGATGTTGGCCGAGTGGGCTGAACTACTATATATCATGTGTTAAATTTTTTTGTTGAGTATCATTTTTCCAAGCATGCTTAAATGATGAAAATGTGCCTTATATGATTATTTATTTTAAAGGACTTGTTATGAGAATTGATTATTTGAGCTTAATTGATCAAGTCTTGTGGAATGAATTGTAATCATACTTGATTTATAAGGCAAAACTGTGCTTTGGTCATTTGACCAGCCTCTAACCAGGTCGATCAGCTTTCGCAGAATAAGCTTGTTCTGCCTCTGCAATTCAAAAAAAAACTAATCAACGGGCTTTTGGTTCAATGGGACTCTTGGGCTTGTAAAGGCTTTACCTTCTTAAAGTCAAGGATTCAACTCCTTCTGCCCCTTTCCCCTCCAAAAAAAATTAAAAAAAAAAACTTCAAAAACAAACTAAGGCCTTTTGGTAATCCATCCCTCAGACTAATATGAACTCAGCTAACATGCTAATGTGAGTGAAAAACTGCCCTTAGTTCAAGATTTTTAGAGTAGTCCTATTCACCTCCCCCCCCCTTTCTTTTTTTTGGGCCCCCTAGGACTTCACAGTTTATTCTTAGATCTAACCAGTGCAGACCAAGTAAAAGAATGGTTTTTAGCTAATGCCAAACATGAACACAAACATTTTGAGAGTTACCTTGAATGATGTTTCCTATACCATGAAATAGACCTACTGAAATTGAAATTAGTTTAGAAACTTACATTTCCAAGTCCTGAATTTCACGCTGTCAAATGCGGCGTAAGTGTAACTCCAATTGGCGTATGAGTGATTTGATGCATTTGTGTAAACTTATGTTCAAGTCGGCCCTTCGTTCTGGGACATAACTGATTTCTGGACTTTTTGCAGCCAATTTAAAGAAACAGATTGTACATGATATTGACAGACAAAAGAATAACAGTTAAATTTCATTGTTCCCAGTCCTAAGGATTTCCCTTCTTAGAATACTATTTATGTAGATATTGGCTATTAGATTGTAGTTTTTTCTGTTGGTCGTGTAGGTTCTAGATATTGATCTATCGTGGAGAATGCACAAAGCATCTGATGGTCAGAGAAGAAGGGTGCAAATTTGTATGGGTCTCCTACAACCATTCAAGGTATGTTTCATTCCTACCACGAGTTCTTCATTTTCATCTTTAGAAATTTCTTCTTTGAGTGCATTATAGCTCCCTGGGGTAAATTCTTGAGCTTTTCACCTAGGTTCTTTTGCTTGATGAAATCACGGTTGACCTAGATGTCCTTGCAAGGGCTGACCTTCTGAGATTTCTCGAGAAAGAATGCGAAGAGCGAGATGCTACAATAATCTATGCAACACATATATTTGATGGTCTTGAGAATTGGCCATCTCATATTGTAAGTTTTGACTGCCTACATCTTCAAAGTGGTTTTTTCTGTCCTGTTTATTGTTAAAGTCATCCTGTTGTTTTCAGGTTTACGTGGCTCATGGGATGTTGCAACTAGCAATGCCAATGGATAAAGTTAAGGAGATTAGCAATATGTCACTAATGGTCAGTTCCTCATTCTTAAGAAGTCTGGAACTTCAAATCTAGCTCCCTAATCGGTGGATATTTGTTAATGTGTTTGATATAATCTTTCAAATAAATAAACATCGATTATCTGATTTGATAGCAATTAGCAAGTTGGCTTTCTCTAAATTGGCCTTTTGTCTTCACAATCAACAAAATGGATTTGATTTAATATTAAGCAGCAAGTCGGCTTTTTCTAATTGACTTTGTACTATTGATGCCTTGTGGGGTTGGATTTGCAGAGAACAGTAGAAAGCTGGCTGAGGAAAGAAAGGAATGAGGAACAGAAAAGAAGAAAAGAGAGAAAGGCACATGGGCTTTCAGAGTTCAGAAAACAAGTTGAGGGCACTCGTGTGACTGGGGATCCAGCCCTTGCAGCTGTCCGTACATTGAACAATGGTTGGGCTGCTGGAAGGCTGCATTCTACGATTGCTGGGGAAGAAAATTTTGTCTTCAGCTCAAACAGGGTTCTTCGACAGTAGTCTAGCGCAACTCAACACTACGCCTCTACAATTTCTGGACCTTACTGGTAGAACAGTCAACCACCCAAATGAATCCTTTTGCTAACCTTATCTTCTGTCACAATTTGCTTAAAGTCATACGCAATAGAGTCTCAAAATAGGATTCTTTGTTGTAGTTAGTCCATATCTCTGAATTTATGATGTCCTACTAGTGCAATTATAGTTTTTGCTTATTAAAGCTTGTAAGGAAATATTTCTCATTATAAATGTTATATCATGCATTTTTAATCCCACAATTGTGCCAATTTAGAAGGCAGTAGAGTACCATGTCTGTTGTCGTAGTGGAACTAACAGCTGCATCAGGACAAGTGTATTATCTGAAATAAGTGTACTGATCACAGTGAATAAGGCTATGCACTCGCTGTGCTTGAGTTATATCTCGAATGCCAGGTATTGGTTCCATGCATTTAGGTACTTAACTGTCGGAATTGTACTCCATTCAATCATTTGTAGCTTACTTCATATTGGGACGAACCATCAAAGTGATGCCATCTGCCTTAAAGTAAATACAGATGTGTATTAGTTTTCTTAAACATTTTGAATCCACTAAGTGCTCATTCACCCAAGTAATACATCACATGCTGCAGAATTTTTGTAGATGGGACCGTTTGCACTTGGGACGACTTAAGAATCCGGAATGTATAAGAAGTGACTGTGTTCAGTACATAATTCAAACATTGGGAAAGAGAGTATGAATGGTCGTGGTTCATGGTTATACAAATTTGGTGCAGGGTAGATATTATAACATATTGATTATCGCAATAATATTAGATTACAGTCTTCAAGCGTCTTGTTTTTTTTTTTTTTAGGAGAGGATAGAGGGGGATTTAAACCATTAACCTCAAAAATGTAAAATATTCACAAGTCAAGGAGTATCATTAAACTTCAAGCATCCTGTTGATTCCTAAGAATATCAAGTCAATTGGGAATTGAAAGAGAAACCAATTCTAAGTTTTATTCAAAATAAATCAAAATTGCTAAATTAGTTTTCAACACAATAAAAATAAGAAATGCTAATAATCCCAAATTACTAAAAAAATAAGTAAATATGCAATATTGTGAAAATATCCTAAATAGTAGAATAAAAATATAAAAATTTCGTAAACGTCATTTTTTGTTTTGACTAAAAACCAACTAATTTGAAGGTCTTCGATCGTAATCAAATCAGCAAGAGTTTCCTAGAATAGAGTCTTATGAAATTTTTTAACATTGTCGCCCAAAATAGGCCTTGATTGGTACACAATCAGCACTATTTTTGTAACGGTCTTAATTTTTCATATAATCTTATACTATACATGTTGCATCAAGATTCCGACAATTTGTATGAGAATGACTATAGGTGCATAAGTTTTTTCCCAACCCAGTCTCTCCCATGACTTAATTCTAATACCTAATTTATTTTAAACTTATTTTTTAAATTCAATCTTTTTTTTAAAATGTCATTTCAAATGACACCTTTATGAATTAAAACTTCGTTTGAAATGACGTTTTTAATTTTACAAAAATTGAGATAATTGAATAATAAAACGACATTTAAAATGATGCATTTAAAAATGTCAGTTTAAATCATGTTTTTAACTTATTATTTTAAATGACTTAATAACGGCGATAACACTGAAAATTAATAAAACGTTATTTAGAACAACGATTTTACGGGTGTCATTTGAAATGATGATTTACGTAGAATAATTTAAATCAAATTTTTGAATGAACAATTCCCAAATCACAACAGGTCAATCGAGCGCTCCTCCTCCCTCTCTCACCTGAGCTCTCATCCACCAGCCACTCTCACCCACCGTCTTCTCCGACGAGGAAGATCAATCTCTCCTCCGCCTCCAACCACTCACCCGCCATTGTCTTCGAGGAGGAAGACCAGTCCGATGACCTTAAATCCGGCAACAAATTTTCTCCAGTGGTACTGCACACATTTTCTCCGGTAGTGCTGTACACATTTTCTCCTGTGGTGCTGTACACATATTCTCCGGTATTTTCCTCTCTCTCTCTCTGTCAATATATACTGTCAAAATATACTGCGATCTGGGTAGGCTAGGGTAGGGCTTAAATTTGGAAAATGAGAGAAACAGGAGACTAACGTGCAATATCCTTTTTCAGTAGTCAAGTTGTTATTGTTATTTTTTCTTTTTCAGAATGTGTATTCTTTTCAGTTGTTGATCTAAAATGAATACTTGTTTGTTTTTAGTGCCATTACATCTTATTTGCAGCAGGAAGTTTTTTTTGGGAAAGTAGGTAATTAGCAACATTGGATAAAACTTGTTACTTTCAGTTGATTACTTTTTTCCTCTTTTGACTGGACGCTGAGACCTTACTACGAGTCTTTTGGGGTCCGACATGTTACTCTGATGGTTGTGGTTTCTTGGTGTTGCAGAGTAGATTTAGGTAAGCCATTTGTGCTTTGATTTTGACCAATACAAGGCATGTGGAACTGCAATCCTAATCTCAGATATAGTGGACCATTGCAGTATTTTGTACCAAGGAAGTGAAAATTAGAACGTAATCTAACACTTACATTTTACTTCTCTTCAGAACACGGGGCATGGTAATAATCTGATTACCACAAGCTTTTTCTATGTCTCGTTGTTCATTTGAAATTTATACCCTCACGGAATGGAATGTTCTATTTGGAGTTACGCAATATGTGTGTATACAAGTATATGTTTGCTAATGAAATTAATATCCTTTATATATTGCATTGACTAATTTCAACCATAGGTACCTATCAACCATAGTTTCAACCTTTGGAAATTATACCCTTTTGCTGGGGCATTATTTGTGATTTTCTCAATTTCAAGATGGGTATTGGTTTTGTTCTACTGGATTGGTGAAAAGTTATGATTTTTGGCACTGTACTGTTAATGGGATTTCTGAGTTTTGCTGAATTTGTTAGGGTAGGTCTAGACTACAAAGTAGATTGGAAATATACACCTCCTGGTGAAATTACTCCCAGCTTACCATTGGTGGGATGCCCAACTTACTATTTGATAGGTTGATATGCTGCTGAAATTGCTCAAAAAATTTGCCTGAGGGCGGGTGCCCAACTTACTATTTCATTAGAATTCTTGCTATTTCATGAGTGTCTCACCCATAGTAAACAAAATAATGTGCCAGGTTTTTGGAAGTGAGGAGTTTTTGAGGGCGGCTGTGGATGCAGGGGAGGTGGTATGGAATCGGGGTCTGCTTAAACGAGTTGGGCTTTGTCATGGTATCAGTGGGAATACCTATGTATTTTTTTCACTTTACAGATTGACAGGCAAAGTGGAGTTCTTGTACAGGGCCAAAGCGTTTGCTTGTTTTCTAAATGATAGAGCTCAAGTTCTCATATCAGAGGGGATAATGCATGGAGGTGATCGCCCCTACTCACTGTTTGAAGGCCTTGGAGGAATGGCTTATCTCTTTCTGGACATGATCGAACCATCTGAGGCTAGGTTTCCTTGTTATGAACTTTAAGTGTCTTCTACAAATAGAGTAGATGTAGACAGTGTTTACGTGTAAATTTCCCAAGCCTGATGTATATGTGAGATAAGTGAAGCTTTTAAAAATTTTGTCTGTCACTCCAAAGTTCAAATTTTCATATTCGTGCTTGTGTACTTTGCACGAGTTATAAGGTACTGCAGAAGTCCATTCAGAAAACTACCCCGTAAATCATTTCTTTTGGTGATGACATGCATGATATTAGGGGGCAATGTGCAAAAACTATATGATTTTCATTTCGTAAATCATTTCTTTTGCTGAATGTCCCAACTTCCAGAGTAATTCAAATTATCTCTTCTCCTTGCTGATCATGAGACTACCACATAATTGTCATTTATCAAATGGGTTGTCTAATTTTATTGTCTTAACTCAAAGTCACCTAATTTTACAAGAGAAAATTGCTTACAAAGCCTCTTCATCCGAATTCAAACACTGCACTAATAAATAACAAATTGACCCAGAAATTCCTCTCCTTTGGCAAAGCTTACTCGATTTGAAGAATCCCACAGATTCCATTTATGCCAAACCAACAAGTTTCTCACTGACTTCCCACACCTTCCTGGCCTTCTCTGCGTCACTTGCTTCTTGAGACAATTGGTTCTCAAACGATGCCGAGTCCTTGTTCCAGCTCCAGTAGACCCCTGATTTTGTCAAGCTTGGATCACTCACAACCTAGATAAAAAACCATGTAATTCGGCACATTACACATCTGGATATGAAGTCTCCAAATGTATTTTATCTATTCACTTTTTCATTGGAGGTAGTAATATTTACCTGTGAAAGTCTCTTTCCAGCTTCATCTTCAAAGACAAAGCCCTGGGCATCTACTTTTGGAATGGAGGGAACAAAGCCCTGAACAATGGGATGTGTTCCCTAAACAAGCCTGTTGTAGCAATGCAACCTGGGTAAAGGGATGCAAATGTGATCCCAGTATCCTCGTGGTAACGTCTGTGGAACTCTTGCATGGTGAGCATGTTGGAGACCTTGCCGTCCTTGTATGCTTTAGCTCCATCGAAGTCCCCACCATCATAAGTCACAAAAAAGGTTATTACAAATGACATTTTTTATCCACCAATTTTTTTGAATGTCTGTTAGGTTGCCGTTTGAAAATTCATTTTAAAAAACGTAAAATGACGCCTTTAAAAACGTCATTTTGGCGTTTTCAATAAAAAAAATTTAGTTTTAAAACGTCATTTGAAATGATGTTTTAATCCACGAAGGCATCATTTCAAATGACGTTTTTTAAAAAAGACTGGATTTTGGAATAAAGATGGTGGGAAGGCTGGATTTGGGAAAAAGTTCAGAGATGCATACACCAACGAACTATTCCTTTGTAGGAAATTATAGGCACAAAGAAGCACGTTAACTGTATTTTATGATAGATCCATGCCCATTCTTCAGCTCTGAAACGAGATGGATTTGCAGTTCATATGAGGAATGTCATTTTCAATCAAATTCAATCGTTTACCGTTAGATTCATTGATTCCACCGGTGAATTTTTTTTTGTGAACTGAAAATGATTACTGTGAATCAAGTGTTCAAAAGAAAACGAACTTTTGATTCATTCAAGGACTTTGGAATCCTATGAATGAAAATATGGTCTTTCTTAATCTTATTGAATTTTATTAAACCATTGGCACAACGTGGAATATGTTATAAGGTGAATACGTTCAAACTACAAGTTTTACTTTTTCTTTTAATAAGTAAAAGGATAAATTACATCAACCTATCATGATCTTTGATCAAACTAGTTCATGTACGCATGCATTGCAAGTGAATAAATTCAAGTTTTTATTTGATTTTGATCTGTTAATTTTTTAATTTTAATATTCAAGCTTGGAACCTTTAGCACGTTAGTCCATGTAGTTTTTTTAAATGGCAAAAAATCAACCAAAATAGAAAAAAAGAAACCATAATATACAACTTTCATTGATATTCTACCTCCTAAGTTTGTAACTCTGAGTTTACAAACAATATTTATTACTTTTTGCCATTTATATTCTTTGTTTGGATTGGTGGAACATTGAATATAAGTAATATATGAAATCTTTCTTTGTTTTTTTTTTTGGAGGAGGGAGGAGGAGGAAAAAAGGGAAACTTGAACTCTTGACCTCAAGTCAAGATAGAAGTACCATTGAACCAAAGACCTGTTAGTTGAAATCTTTCTTAGTATTAGCCTTCCATTGGCAATAAAATTTAAATAATCAAAAATCATTTTAAAATCTCTATTATTTAACCACTATTTGTTTAACAGGCATCTCATTTGTATGTAATGGATATAACTATTGGCCTGAGAGTTCCTATATTGTGCCATTACAACTCTCACATCAATGAATATCATTGCCCTTCAGTGCCAATTTTTGTAATTTGACTATGAACATAGGACCTAAAAAAAGAAAAGAAAAAGAAACTTATTATTCGGTAACAATGTAACATCTTGCTCTGTGCAACTGATTCAGACAACCTGTCACTTTCAGCCTCACCAAGCATCTCATATTGTTTACCTAAGTCCGTTACCAGTTTACATGGAAGATCATGTACACAAGCTGAAAAAAAATGTAAAAGTAATTCCCTATATAAAATACAAAGTTTATCGCAATTAATTTCTATAATTACATATTTTTATCAATTCTTCAATGTTATTCACTTATGTCTCGTCTTGTGGAATCCTTCCCGTAGCTTCCACAATGAGGATGGAGTAAGGTTGTTTATCTTATATTTCTATGCAGGGGCAGTTCAAGCCAATTTGAAGCCTAAAGCGAAAATATTAAATAAATGTCTTTTTATTTTTAGTATTATTTTTTTAAAAAAATAAATTTATTTTTAATTTTATATGTAAGAGAGAGACAAAAGAATGATGTTTTAATATTGTCAAGAAAGAAATTTTAACTTTTGTTTTTGTTTTTTTACCACAAAGGGAGAAAGAGTGTTTAACTGCCGGAATTGTTTTTGTTTTTTATTTTTTTTACCAGAGAGACAGAGACAGAGAGAGAGAGAGAGAGGGGGGTGGGAGTAAATATGAGTTGACTTTTAGTATTTTTTTAATTTTTTTAGTTTCTAATTTTTTAATGTTATGAATTGGATTATAGACCCAAGTTATTGCAATAAAATTTTGATTAGATTTAATTTTTTGGGGCTTTTTTGTAGAAATTAAAATTTAATAGATTTAACTTTTTTTTGTGGGCTAGTGATGTACCTAAAATTATAGAGCCTTCTAAAAATTTGGGGCTTAAAGCGCATGTTTTTTTTTCTATATTGTTAGACTGGCTTTGTTTCTATGCTTCAAAACGTGGTAATAGTACATTTTTCAACTATGCTGTTAACTGCAAATTAAGTGTCAACCATGGTCCCGGACATTTCACTTTTTTTCTCTCCATTACTTTGCCCCTGTGTATTTTTCTACTTCCAACATAAACCTAAATCCTACAACCATACCCAAACCAAAAACATCAGACTCAGAAATCACATGCACAGTTGAAATAAAACTTCATCAAGTTGTTATGGAATTGACTCAACACAAGAAGATAGATGTTCAAGTCATTTAAATTTTGTTGTCAATGGCATGAAATAAACACCAATAACACTAGGTACCTTCAACAGGCCTAGGGGGTATTGTGATAAATTTTGGCATATGTTGGAGTTAGATTTCTTGCAAATGTTTGTAGCACAGTAGATTTCGTAGCAAGCCTTGGTGACACCTAGGAATAAAAAGAAATCATACATTGATAGGAAAGACCAAGAAAAAACATAACATTTTAGAGAACAAAATGTTGATTCCACAGATAAAAGGTAGCGTGAGAGAGGGAAGACATAAGTGATTGAAATGGTAAGTCATAGAGGTTTTACACGTATTAGAAAGGAAATGGAAGACAAGTTTCAAATGGTAGTATGTCAAAATCCTAAACTTTATTCAAATAAAACCTAATTAAAATTCCAGAAAAATTTAAATAGTCTTCACGCACACTCACACTCACACACACACAAAATAGAGCTCTCATATTTGGAGCATAAGCTATCAATTTCTGAATTGAACAACCCAAATTCAAAGTTTGAAGAAACTTCAAGACTTAGATCAAAAAACCTTGATGACAATCTCTAAGAAATCTAAAAAAAAGAGTAAAAAGCAAAACAATCAGCGAAAGGAAAAATAATAGCATGTATAAATTTGAAACCCAAGTGATCTTCTCGATGTCAAGATCTCTCAAATATTGAATTTTTGAATTCTAAGAAACCAAATGAAAAATATTAATTTACCAAGGAAATACAAAAACCAAGAAGAAAAAGACAAAATAAGCTTTATATGAATGTATGCATTATCACTTGGATATGCATTAGCAATGACACATACATTTTGCAGAGGAATTGCACCAAAACCTGACAAGGCTGGGATGTGGGGAAAGCAAAGGAAAAGTTAAACGTGCAATCCTTGCAAAAACAAGTGGCTGAATTGGGAAACTTTTGAGTCCTCGTCCATTACCCGGGACCGAGTGTGTGACTTTGTAGCCGAAATTATCGACGGATGAGATTCATAAGAATGATAATCTTCAAATGGTAACTGATGGTGTATTTCAATGTGATATAAATTTGTGATGACGAGTAAATGAAAGAAATAATATTGGAATTGTTGGAATCTGAGCTACTAGACTCGGGTGAATGATACTGAAAATTGTCGGGGAGTTGGGGAATTAACACAGTAGAAATATAGTAGTTCACCAGCTCAGGAGTTCAGTTAATCCTCTCTTTAATAGAGACTCTTGCTCCTTATCTTTCAATAATGATGATTGCAAGAGTATAATGACTAGTTTTTGCTTCTAGGGTCTCCCTTCTTCCTTGGGGGCGTTACATAGTATTTATAAGGTTGTTCTCTATTCAGTGGGATCTTAACTGAGATTCTTGTCCTTATTTCGTGTGGTTCTCCTTGATTATAGGAGAAGATCTTGGTTGGTTGAGATTAGGTGCCTTGATTATTGCTTCCT